TCGACATCTATGAGACATGCGGCCCTTCAACTGAATTTTCATTGACGCCCGACCCCTCACAGGCGAGGGTATGATGGAGACGTCTTCGCAGCCGAGTCCCATGAATTGGATCATACTCGAGTAAAATATCGCCGCTAGCAGCAGGCGTTTGTAGTGCAAAGGCTAAAAGAGCCCATGGCAATGAGTATTGTGCGGCGTTGAGCAGTCATCGACTATGGCAATGGTTCAGAGGGGAGGCGGCCCACCATGCTGTTGTCATGGAAGCCAAATCCATCACCTCTTGTAAGTAGGAAAGCCATTATTCCTCGGGGGACTGTTTTCGCTCTGATTGCTGAGCAAACTGTCGGACCATTGGAGCCGCGGGAAGCGTCGACTTAATAAACGCCCGTTTATTAGTTATAAAACCTCTTACAATGCTTTTCAATTTGATGCCAGACTCACCAAAGCACTAGTGTCCTTTTCGTTGAGCTGACTTTTCCAATCTTCAGGCGATGTCATGTATGACAGGAGGTCGTCGCCAAAGTCTTGCATCAGATCCGGCTCTGGCAAAGGGTTTGACAGACCTTGAAAAGGTGCCTGTGGTTGGACTTGGAGGTGCTGCTCAAGTAGCCTGCGCGACGTTTGCGGGTCTGACGGTTTATCTATATTAAAGCCCGGCAGCTGCTGTTGCGCCGCAACAGCCCTCTTTTGCTGCTGGTGCATCATTTGCTGCCGAAAAAGCTGCTGCTGCTGCTGCTGCATCACTTGTTGTTGCTGAACCAACTGTTGATGCTGCGTCTGCGCCGGGTACGGCTTCGACTGCAGTTGCGACTGCTGAAGAAGCATTTGCTGCTGGGCCATTTGTCGTTGCCGCTGTAGAGTCAATTGTTGCTGAACGAGCGGATTCTGTCCCTGCATTGACTGCTGCTGCTGCTGAACCATCTGCTGCTGTAGAGCCATCTGTCGCTGTTGGAGGGCCATCTGTGTCTGCTGCTGTTGCTGCTGCTGCTGCTGCTGCTGCTGCTGTAGAGTCATATGTTGCTGTTGCCGCTGCTGCTGCTGTAGAACCATCTGTTGCTGTTGCCGCTGTTGAAGCTGCAAAGCCATCTGTTGATGCTGCCGCTGTTGCTGCTGCTGCTGCTGCTGCTGCAAAGGAACCTGTGGCTGTTGCAAAGGCACCTGTTGTTGCGGGTACATCCGTTGCTGTTGTGCCACTGCCAAAGGATCCCAAGGACCGGGCGGCGGCACCAAGGCTGGATCTCCAGAACTTCTTCCAGCTTCGAGAAGAGCTTGCGTTCGTTGAGTCCTATCGAGGTCCGTACCCTGCTTGGAACTCTCGCTCAGGGGGTTAGTGGCATTCTGTTTGCCTTCCTTCTTCACATTTATTGTACAGGTGCCTTCCAGGGCAATAAGCCTCTGTTTTTGTACTAGTTTCTCGTCACTCAGATCCTCAGATATGGTACCCTTGATTGGGAGCCGTTTCTTTCGCAGCTGTTGTTCATACATCCCACCTCTGCTCAAGAGAGCAGATTCGAGATCCTTCGAGGGAGGGCTGGGCGGTTTAGGGCTAGACGACATGAGGCTCGCTGGCTGTGAGCCAATCCCGGGATTTGGCATGCCGGGAGGGGGTTTGTATGGAGTAGGTATAGGTAGGTATGAAGGGTTGTACGCTTGATTCGCTTGATTCGACAAGGCAGTATTCATTGTATTCATTCCAGGGTATATTGGGGGGGCACTGGTCATGTTGGGCATCGCACTCATCTGAGAGTATGTCGGGGTCATGTTGGGCATCGCACTCATCGGAGGGTAGTATGACGCGGGGCCGTTGGTGACTTTTGGTGCTTGTGGGATGAGAGCTGGTGGTGCGCCTACTCTTCTGTCTGGAATTGGCTGCATTGGCGTGCCCACGAATGGAGCCTTGGAGCCAGCCGTAGTCGCAGACGCAATTTTATTCAAGGGGGGCGATCGCGAAGCAAATGGTCGTTTGAAGGCAGGCTTCCCGATCCCCGCGGGAGACGAGAGCAGTCCTCGACCCGGGGTTTCACGGCGGCGAGTGAGCGGACTCGATGATGCAAGTCCGCCGAGCGCCAGTCGACCTGCATGGGACTGAAGAGGTCCGGCACCGGATTTCGGTCGCATTCGGGGATGCTCGTCGCTATGGTTGGTCGATTTTCTCGACGTTCGACCGAGAGGCATCATACTGGACGCCCTGCTAGTGAGCGTTGTGCCTCGCCAGCCTGAGGATTGATGGTGTAGGGTGGAAAAATAACCAAAACAGCCTTGAACCTCAGCCTAGGATACAACGATAACGCCAATGTACAAGGGGGACTCTCATTGGGTGATGCTGTTGGTCATGCAGTAGGCCTCGCGACAGTGGCGCAGCATCTACCAACCAATACTCGGTGTGGTTCGCCTGAACCTGGAGGCAACCAAAGAATTTAATTCTCCAGCAATCCATACTTTGCCGGCTCCAAAAACTAAAGCACAAACATACGATAGAGATTGGAGCATGGCCGACCCAGACTTCAAAGAGGACGAAGACGTGAGGGCATGGTACCTTGGCCGAAATGGCGGAAGGTGAGGCGACTTGGGCACAAGCTGCTACTACTTTTTATTATCCCTCGTAAGGCTGACTTTCTCTCTCTCTCTCTCTCCCAAGGCAGGACATTGCAAAAGCGGCGTATGAGGAGGCTTTGGTATATCTGAGAAAGGAGTTGGAAGGCGAACCAAAAGCGCTGGCCTGGATCGAGCAGCACACGTCACTCGACAAGATGCACGAAGAAGCGAGCGAAGTCGAGGCACGGTATAACGGGGTGGGTCAAACCAAGAAGACTGTGTTGGTATACATGCGGAAGATATCTGCCTGGATCATGTCTTATGGCCAGGTCCTTGATATGCTCTCCTCGCATCATCCCGAATACGTCTCGCTGGCATGGGGAGCTGCCAAGTTTATTCTGATGGTGCGCCAGCCTCTCTGAGCATGAGATCCGGCTCTTGTATGCCTCTGGCTAACTGTCAAACAGGGAATTCTCAACCACGAAAAGATTACCAGTCAGATATCACAAGCCTTGCTGGAAATCTCCGAAGTGTTGCCACGATCGGATCTTCACGCGAAGCTATACCCGACCGAGAGAATGAAAGACAGCATGGCTCGACTATACGCGCACCTAATGCTCTTCCTGAGACAGGCTGTGAAATGGTTTTCTCGTCACTCTGTTGCGCGTGCCGTTTCGTCGATTTTCAAGCCTTTTGAGTTAAAGTACAAGGGGTTGGTTGACCAGATAGAGACGTGCGCCAAGGTAATCGACGAGGAGGCGTCTGTTGCATGCAGGGCTGAGATTCGGGGATTGCATGTCAACGTTTGGCAGAACGGCAAACGCATCGTCGACCTGGACAAGAAAGTGGACGAGACACGAAAAGCACAAGATGAGAGATTCGATGCAGTCAACACAAAGCTGGAGGACATTCGTATCGAGATCAAGGAGATCAGACACAGGGTCTCAGATGTGCAGGTGGTAGTCGGGGACACCAGAACTCGGGTTATTGATCTTCAGTTCAACGAAGTCATGAACAACGTCAAGCCCAAGACATTGCCAGAGGACAGTCTGCGCGCACAGCAGGCGTACATCAGGAGAGCTATGCCATGGGTTAACGACAGCAAAGCAACTCTAGAGATTAGACGACGCCTGAGCAACTGGGTGTCCGCTTGGGAGTCTCCCCTCCTGATATTACAAGCTGGCCCTCGAGCCCAGACGAACGCAAGAGATCTTGCCATTGAGATGATCGAGATACTCCGGCCAACAGACATGGCTGTCATATGGCACCTGCCCAACACGAGTCGGCAGGAAGGGGAGACGCTTCACCGTACGGACATTCTGCGCAGCCTGGTTTTCCAGCTCATGACGCTCGCCCCAGAGCTCTTGAGTTCGGGTGCCGCGAACCTCGATGCGGCACGGTTCCAGGCCCAGCACGGAGAGGCTGAATGGCTGGACCTCCTCTGCCTCATCCTTGGGCAGCTTCCGCGCTGCTTCCTACTTGTCGAGGCTGAGGAAGGGCCTAGTCAAAAGGAACAGGCTCAAGAACTTCGCCTCATGCTCGAAGCAGTCGTGAAACGCTGCCAAGGGTCAACTTGCATGCTCAAGGCAATGCTTCTGAGTGGCAACGCCGATTTGGAAGTTTCTGCCATCCCTGGCGAGATGACCAACATCCTCACAGTCCAGAAACCACCGCCGCCTCCTCCCCATCTCAGACGTCCACGAACGAGGCAAAAGGCCAGGATGCCTACTTGGTCTGGTGTGAAGAAGTAGTTGTAACTGGTCCCTCTTTTTCCTTTTTTCTTTTTTTTCTTCCTTTTCTTTTCTCTTCGTTTTTTAGATCAAAGGGGGGGGGGGGGGTTCGGTCATAGATTCCAGGCTAGCCATGGCGTAGGTACATCAAATTGTTAGATAGCTTTCGGAGCGCGCACTCGAAGATACCAACTGTTGTTTTGTTTATAAAGAACCAAGCGTTAAAATATTTGAACCAAGACGAACTGATGCAATATCGTGAGACATGACGCTACATCAAGAATTGCATCTTGATGAGGAGTAAATGCCGGTCGAAGTTTTGCAGGCTGAGACAAAGTTTTGGTCATTGCTTTGTGGTGACGAACGCTGATTCATGGCATTGCGGGGTGGTGGTGGTGGTGTTGGTGTTAGTGCCAGTGGTCTCCTAGCGGGTATTGTCTCCAGGTAGTTGGCTTTTTAGCAGCAATTGCTTGCTGAAGTATTGAGGTGGGAGCTAAAGAGTACCTCTAGTACTAGTCGCATTGTACTGGATTAAATTGACTGCCCTTCTGCAGTCGAGGGTACGTCGTATCGGTCAATTGATGCATTGCAAACACTCACACACAATTCAACGAATACCTCAACAGAGTGGTAACGTGATTTGTCGTGAGGAAAGGACGAAGACTCTCAATTCCAGGATACAATACTGTCTATTATGACATTGTTAAATCAACTTACCATGACTCGTTAGACACAGCCCCTGTGGCGCAGTGGGTTAGCGCTTAGTTCTTATACCTCTACAAAGTTTAGAGATATGCTAGGGTCGTCAGTTCGAACCTGACCAGGGGCATTTTTTTGCTGTTTAAACCAGCTGTTCCAATCAAGGAAGAGCTTGTTTGCCTTACTTCCTTTATCCCCCTCCTCTCCATCTCAAGATATTAATTTATTTACTATTGTCGCAGTAGTCTCTTATTACTCTTAGTTGATCGATCAGCTAGCACACTTTTCCTTCTTTGCGCTCGTCTCTGTTCCTCCCCCCACAGAGCGCTCCGCCATTTCATACTAAGTGTTTGTTAGAGTGGCATGTCGTCGATCTACGGTCTACTTTAAACTTAAACATTTACCAGTGAGCGACATAGTGGCATCTACAAAGCCAGCTGAACCTCAGAGGCCTCCCTAGTTATTTATAACCTAAACATGAAGTTATAGTAAGGAGCTATCGCTGCGAAGCCTTTCGGTTTCCTCTGGCAATGCAAACTATGTCCCCATTTTAAGGAGAAAATTTCCCTCCGACCGTGCGATTATGATTCCAACGGCGATGTGTCATCTGGCTACTACAGCTTTTCAGACCCTTTGGCCACAAAAGCATGTGCTTGTATGTAAAAGGGTGTGTGCATCAAATTTTGCAAAGTAACAAGGATCTATCTCGCTATAAACCATTTTTCAACGTTCCCATTAATGTCACGTGTAGCAAAACAGTTAACCTAAATAGCTAGGAGTTGTCTTGCCGTAATGGCTTCGAGTTGGTAGACAGCCTTAGCTGTAGTTATCTACTTGCCGTTGTGTCTCTAGCTATAGCCAACTGTTTCTTCTGGGAACGTGTCTCCCAAGTTGTTTGGATTTTTAAAAAGAAAATGGATATGACTACCGTGCCACGCCCCCACACACAACGAAATTGAGATCCAAAAAAGTCGGGGCGTGGCACAGGTAGTATCTAGCGCCGGTATTGGTGAAGGTGTTTACCGTAACTTACTAAAAGTAGTAAGCGGGGTAGCCCTCTTACGTGACACGTGATACCACTGAGAGAAAAATTTCCTAAACCCTTGACCTCAAACACAACAATTACGCGCCATAGCTCCATTTGGTCTCATCAATCCATTGATTTCATCGGCCTCGAAAACGAAACGAACGCAAAGAACCCCACTCACAAATATTTCAACATGGCTGAGAAAAAGGCGGATGCCCCGGCAGCTGGCATGCTCTGGGGGGGCAGGTTCACAGGTCAGAATGTCTCCGGGAGAACAAGCTTCAGGTGCAGTATACTGACCTCACGGTGCACAGGTGGGATTGATCCTCTCATGCATAAGTACAATGCCTCCATCCGGTACGACAAGGCTCTTTACAAAGAAGATATCCTTGGATCGATTGCTTTTGCCAGGGCCAACTTAAAGGCTGGCATCATTAGTGAAGACGAATTTCGGGCGATTGAGCATGGTTTGCTCCAAGTGATGGAAGAATGGAAGCAAGGAAGTTTCGTTATCACGCCGAATGACGAAGATGTAAGACCCTACTTAGTATTATAACTTAACCTGTTAAGGCTAATAAAATCGGTTAGATTCATACAGCAAATGAACGTCGTTTAGGAGAGATTATCGGCAAGGATACTGCGGGCAAGCTACATACAGGTCGCAGCCGCAACGAGCAAGTTGTCTGTGATATGCGCATGTGGTTACGCGATCAGATCAAGGAGATAGACTGCCAACTTGTTGCATTCCTCAAGGTCATCGCCACACGTGCTGAGTCTGAAATGTAAGCCAAGCCTTATCTCTGGCTATAAGCAGCTCCCTCCTAACTGATAACCTTAGCGACTACATTATGCCTGGATATACTCACAGCCAACGCGCCCAGCCGGTTAGATGGGGACAGTGGCTAATGGCACACGCCGCTGCGTTCAAGCAGGATCTGGAGCGGCTGCGGCAGGTTTTCGAAAGGGTCAATCTTAGTCCACTTGGTTGTGGTGCTTTGGCTGGCAATCCATTCGGAATCGATCGAAACGCCATAGCTGAGGAGCTTGGCTTTAGTGGAATAACTTTGAACTCTATGAATACTTCGGCTGACCGCGATTTCATCATTGAGTTCCTTACTTGGAACTCAATCTTTTTCAACCACATCAGCAGGTGGGCTGAGGACCTCATCATGTATGGAACGAATGAATTTGGATTTTTGCAGCTATCCGATTTATATTCAACAGGCTCTTCCTTGATGCCCCAAGTCAGTCTCCTCGGCTTTACATTACCCCTTGGCATAGGTGAAGTGTCCACGGTGCTAACAAGACTTTCAATTTGAAGAAGAAGAATAGTGACTCGCTTGAACTTCTACGCGGCAAGTCAGGCCGTGCTTTCGGCCAAATGGCTGGCTTAATGATGGTGAGCATACATATTCATGCCTCAGTCAGCTATCTGGCTTTAGAGGTATTTAAGAACGTATTAAGAACATCTACTAATCATTTAAATTAGGCGATGAAAGGATTGCCGTATTGTTATGCTAAAGATTCTCAGGAGAGCTGGGAACCTATGTTGGATTCTGTTGAGTTTGTGTTGGATGGTTTAGGCATTGCTAGCGGGGTTATTGCGACCTTAACAGTGCGGCCAGAGCGGATGAGGGCTGCTCTAGATATGACAATGCTAGCCACTGATGTTGCAGAGTGGCTAGTAAGGAAGGGTGTTCCATTCAGGGAGGCTCACCACATATCTGGACGTGTTGTTGCCTTGTCTGAGAATACGGAGGTTTCGATGGACCAGCTGACCCTGGAGCAACTACAAGCTATTGACTCTCGGTTTACAGCAGACATTGCGGCGGCATTTAAATATGAATCGAGTGTTGAGGCGAAATCAGCTTTAGGCGGTACCAGTCGATCTAGCGTGCTGGAGCAGATCCGGGTACTCAGGGGTATGTTAGATTAGGGGTTTGATAGCCTGGTGCAGGATGCGGCCGGCGGGAGCAAGGAAATCTACATCACGAATGGCATGCTTTATTCTCTGTGGGAAAATATATGATTTATGATTCAAGAGCGATGCTCTTTATAAACCTCAGACAGGACAGTCGCCGGCCGAGCCGGATATGGGAGGAATCGTTGTCGATCAATAAACGTTTAGTCTTGAAGGCATCTTCCTATGACGGTTTAAGTTCCTAAGAATCGGTAGCTAAGACATTGACTTGCTGCTGCTAATAAGAATACGTAAAGGATGTTTGTCTAATGAGCCAGGCACAAGGCTCAACGTCACCGCTCGTAGAGCCCTCCATTGTGTTCATAGCGTGTGCGTCGGGTCGGCGACGAAACGACCTGTATCATCCTCAGCCAGGAAATTCCGGTTTTGTCTCAAGAATTCCGCGTTCTGGCCCAGGTGATCCTCAAATAGGTTCTCCTCCTCAAGTTTAATTGAGAGTTCCTCCATAGATTCATCGCCTGGGATGTCCCCCAAAAATATCTCGTCTTTGTTCAAGAGCTCATCGATGTTGATGCTCTTGGCAACCAGATGTGTAATGCAGTATTCCAACTACTACTTTCCATAATGGGTATGCAAACACACAGGGGCAACTGAGTTCTGCGGAGAGTTGCCATGTTGTAGAATACGATAATTTAATTATGCTACTCTCTTCTGCCATAAGTGATAGAACTATATATTACGCTTTTTGGCAATAAGCCAGAGCAGGGCTGCATCGATAGAGTCCACGTTTGCTAGTGACGGGGTTTTGTGGACCACGCTCTTTGCCCCTGACGTGGGACCTACCCTGTATTTGTGGCCTGGTCCCTCGGTAAATATTACAAACATATGTAACATTTTTTTTTTTTTTTTTTTTTTTTTTTTTTTTTTTTTTTTTTTTGCTGTCGGCGTCTGCTGTACCATAGGAACAACACCGTATATAATAATTGGGCTCTCCCCTCTGGCCCCTGCTGCAATTTGGTCGTGGGCCATTTAGTGCTCAACTAGCAATCGTCATTGGAGAGGCGCCACAAGAACGTGGATCCGACCCGCGTGTGCGGAACTGCAGGACGCTTCTTTGATATCCACTGTCACTTCCAGTTCTGGTCATATGCTTCCCAAGTTCCTTTTGCCGCTTGTCGAGCTCGGTAAGAGCTAGGAAAATTCTGTAGCCTTGTGCTTATCATTTTCTGGTATGAGAGGTACTTGAGTATCAGGGCGTTTGTCATTGGTTCAGATTGTTACGAGATGTTGACGCCAGCCAAGTCCAACAATGCCCCCGGCTTGCTGTTTGTTCTGGAGCCACCAGTTCTTGCTCGGAAAGGTCTTTCTGGTTTCTCTTCCGTAAGCTGGGTCATTTAATTCATGACCCAGTTATGGGCTTTTTACTCTCTTCTCTCATTCTTTCCTTCGTCTTGGTTGCGTATATGTCTGCTTCTTGGCTGGCAATCTGCTACTGAGTCCCATTCTACACTCTTTTGATGCCTTTCCTACTTTGAGAAGAACATGAATACCAGACCGCTACTTCTACTAGTACCGGCTTTGGCCTTCAGCTTTGTACTAATAATCACGACTATTTACCTCGGTGGCGATTACCTGACTGCTATACCTTCTCTTCGTCTTACTTTCACACAGCAGACCAAGCCCTCACCATCGCTATCCGTCCATGTTAATGGTTCGTTCCCCTTTTGCCTTCAGACGCAACCATCATCAATCTAACGGGAGGGTCTAGGAACTATACTTAGTGCTACGAAAATAAAGCCTTACATTACAGCTATTCTTAATCCTGAGGCAACGGAGCTCCCACGACTCGAGTGCCCTCCTTTGAACACCAGCCGGTATGAAACTCTTCTCGATGGCCACAACGTAGTAGCCAGTCCACCGGACTCACAGCATATTGACTACTACTTTACTCTTGACTTGCGCAAGTGCTTGTCCCTGCTTCCAAGACTTCTTGGCAGCATTGTCGAAGCTATCCGTTTCCTGGGGCCTCATCGCTGTGCGCTCTCAATTGTTGAAGGCAACTCACCAGATGGAACTGGTGATGTTCTTAAGGCCTTGGGTCCGTTCTTGGAGGACTTGGGCGTCTCTTACTTTTACCAGTCTTCAAAGATTAACCCGAGCCAAAAGGATCGCATCCGTAGAC